CGTGCCCCCCCCCCCCACACCCCCCGCCATGAGCAGCTGGGCCGTGTCATTGAAGTTGCCCAGGAAGATCATGACATTCATGCGCTCAGCCAGGCGCGGGATCTTGCTGAAGCGGATCATGAACTGGTCCTCGTCCGAGAGCTCCTCTGGCGCCTGCTGCTCCCGCTCGAACTTCCCGATGAGCATCCGCTCATACTCGGTGGGCAGGAAACGCAGCAGCAGCTCCAGAAAGTCGAGGCTCAGGGCTTGCTGGTCATACCTGCGGGTGGTGGGAAACCCCCAGCACAGTCAGACCCTGCAGCAGGTCCCTCAAACCCCCGTCACCCCTGTCTGGTTCCCATCTTCCCTCCATCCCCACAGCTGGTCCCCACATCCCTCCAGCTCTCCGTATCTGGTCCCTGCCTCCCTCCATCCCCATGACAGGTTCCCATCTTCCCTCCAACCCCATGGCTGATCCCTGCATCCCTCCATCCCCACAGCTGGTGCCATCACTCCTCCAACTGCAGCACACCCCACACCATCCCGACCCCTCGGTGTAGCTGGGCTTGCGCCCGACCTTCTCCCGTCAAGGAGGGGACACTCACGTCTCGATGGCTGTGCAGATGTCCTGGATGCTGCGGCCGCCCTTGCGGAGGGTGATAGCCAGGTTCTTGGCTCGGTTGGACTCCATGAGGGTGACCTTGCTGGGAGCCTTCTGCGTGGCCTTCACCTTGAGGGCACTGATGTCCAAGCCGGGGCCCTGCGCCTTGGTCTTGAAGTGCTCCTCAAAGTCACTCATGTCCAGCTCCTGCAGGGAGACAGGGCTGAGGGCACAGCGGGAAGGTGATGCAGGACATCTGGGACGAGGACAGGGCCAGAGGACCGGGACAAAGGGGAGAGGAGTGAGAGGATGAAGATGGAGCAAGGGGATGAGGTCAAGTTGAAGGGATGAGGATGGAGCAAGGGGACAAGGACAGGGACAGGACAAGGGGACAGGGAGGGGGTAAGGAGGGGATGAGGGGACCAGAGGATGAAGATGAGGAAGGAGACATGGACAGGATGTGAGGATGAGGATGGAGCAAGTGGACAAGGACGGGGTGACAGGAGAAGGATGGCAGATCCCATGTTGTCCCTCTCCATGGCGCCAAGGAGCTGCTCCAACCTCCAGCTCCTCCAGCAGCCGTGTGACACCATGGATGGTTGCAAGGTGGGCACGGAGGCAACCTCAGCGCGGGTGCAGCATGGACTGGGGCACTGGCCCAGCTGAGCACCCCGAGCCTGGACCCCCCTGGACCCCGCCATGTCCTCACCTGCAGCACCTTCTCGTCGTTGAGCTCGGTGAAGACGGTGCCATCGATCTGGCTCGGCTTCAGTGCCACCCAGTTGAAGATGGGCATGCGAAACTTGGTCTGGATCGGCTTCTTCACCTTCACTGCAGGGTGATGGGGAGGGGGGGACACGTTACAGGGTGGGGGAGTCCCAAACCCCCCTCAGGGTGCCCCTAGCCCTTGCCTAGGGGACATCCCCACCATCCCTGGGCCACACTCACCTGA